GTGGGACTGCAAACTAGTACAACCTCTATGGAAAGTAATATGGAAATATCTCAAAGAGCTAAAAGCAGAAGTACCATTTGATCCAGTAATCACATTATTGGCACAAAGGATAAAAAGACATCTGCACTAGAATGCCCAGAGCAGCACAAATTCACAATTGCAAAGATGTGGAAACAACCCAAGTGCCCATCAATACATGAGTGGATTAATAAAATGTGCTATATGTATACCATGGAGTACTATTGAGCTATAAGAAACAATGGTGATATAGCACCTCTTGTATTTTCCTGGATAGAGCTGGAACCCATTCTATTAAGTGAAGTATCCCAAGAATGGAAAAATAAGTACCACATGTACTCACCATCAAATTGGTTTTAACTAATCAACACCTAAGTGCACATATAGGAATAACATTCATTGGGGGTCTTGCAGATAGTAGGGGGGAGGAAGGGATGGGTATATACACACCTAATGGGTGTGGGGCCCACCATCTGGGGCATGGACACACTTGAAGCTCTGACTCAGGGGGGAAGATGGGAACAAAGGCAATATACATAACCTAAACATTTGTACCCCAATAATATGCTGAAATAAAAAAAAATTAAAAAATAAAAATAGAAAGAAAATCTTTAAAAAAATCAAACAACAACAGCAAAAAGAGTAAGGTAGGTTATTGTATGTAACAGAGCAAAAATTCCTATTTCATTGTATGGGTCAATAAATGATGTCAACTTGAATTAACCTTTTCCTAAAAATAGTTCACTATATTCATTAGGAAAATATAAAAAGAAAATGTCAAAGAAGTTTCCCCATGAGGATTTGGGCCAGATATGGTGAGGCATGCACTGGGAAGCTGTAGTTTGAAGGTGGTTTTTTGTTTGTTTGATTTTTGCTTTTTTTTGTCTCTCTGTATTATTTTCTACTCTATGTATGATAAAAATGAAAATGAAATTTTAGAGGTGCATTAGTATCCTATTGCTGATGTAGAAATTACCAAAATTCAGTAACTTGAAACAATAAAGATTTATTGTTTTATATTTCTGTAGTATATAAATAAAATATAGATTTTCACTGAGATCACTATTTCCTTGCTGGTTGCCAAATGAAAACAAATGAAGGCTGTCCTCATCTTCCGGGGCATCACCTTTATTTATTCCTTGGCTGATGTTTCTCCTGTCCCGCTTAAAAGCCAGTAAGCACAGGTTGAGTCATTTTTATACTTCAAATCTCTGTTCCTTTCTTCTCTTCTCTCTGGTCCACACTTCTGCTTTCCCCCTTCACTTTTAAGGAAGTTACATGATTAGATTGTGTGCACCTGGATAATCTATCTCAAGGTCCATATCTTAATCACACCCATAAAGTCTCTATGCCATAAAATAACATTCACTTCTTCAAGAACATGAATATCTTAAGAGAGCATTATTCAGCCTAATACAGAGAAATGTCCTCCTCTTCTTTAGAAGTTAATTCATTAAAAACAAACATTTATTTTTGAAAAGTGAATGCAAAACTATAATAAAAATAAATGGAAAGAAATTTTTCAATTTGAAAGAAAACATAACTTGACAAAATATAAAATGTATGAAATTGAATTAAGTGCTCAAGATAAATATTTAAGAATTAGGAGATTATAGATAAGTGAATTAAAAGTCGCCAAAGGCTATAAAAATTTTCAAAACATCATAAAATTATAGGTAGCAAAATCTAATGGAAAGATGGGTGCAAAATATGATGAGAATATTAAACAATAAAAATCATAAATTGAATAGGATAGTTTAAAACAATATTAATACACAGAAAGTTAAACATTTTAAAAATAAAATAAATGTCCCCTTACTAAAAATTACAAAAAAAAAATAAAAATGTAGTTTTATAAATAAGTACGGAGTATTAATTCTGAATGATGAGAAAAATTCAAATACTGCAATCACAAACTGAGATTTTTCAGTGAATACTTTGTAACAAATAGCAATATGAACTTTTACCTTCTTATACTCATCAAAATTGCTCAGAATAGAGAAACAGATGTCTTTTTTAAGGCATTAAGAATGGAGGCTTACAGTGGTTACACAAGTTTGTTCACAGTCCTACAAAATGGAAAGCAACCGTAAACCTTGAACAGTCTGCATAGCCAGAGAAGGAGGAAACATAAGCTCCATTACTAAAAATTTGCCTGCACAATTAATTCAGCTTTGGACATTTATAAATTATTTTCACAATAAAGTTTGATCTTGTTACTTGATCGTGGACAGATTAAGAAATAATGGAGATTACAATGTGATAACATTATATTATCAATTTAAATGATTCTACTTAACTTCATTAAAATACACCTAGTTTATCTAAAAGTCATTGGATTATTTCAATATCTTTTAAAAAGTGAGGAAAATATTTTAAAATGTTTTTCCTTTCCTTTGATTCAATTTTACCATTAACTTTACAATTATATTAATAAAGGTTTTAGAGGAGTTTTGACTATTAGGACGGCTATATTGTAACACTCACATTTATCTTGAGTATCTAAGGGAGTTTTTGTGTGTACTAATCAATAATCAGTTTTTTAAGATTAGGAACATTATAAAGATTATGAACATAACAACCAATTTTCTCTTGCAACTTTAAATATACTCTACAAATCTAGTGAATTTCCCTATAATCTTGTATGTTTTTAAAATTAATAGCACTCAATTCCTTTTATTCTTTGACAGATATTCAATTAACTTATGTTTTAAAGATTAAATTCTGTTGAACAATTAATACCATTTGCAACTTTAGTTAATTAAAACCCCTTAAAACATTTTAAACTGTAAGTTAAATTCTAAAATAGCTGAATCTCTAAGATATTTTAAAGATCTTAAAAGAGACCAAATATACTCAGATTAAAAACAAAAAATATTTGTTTTTATAACTGAGTACCTATTTATACTTAATCCTAACCAAAATTTTTGAATCATTTCTCTCTATTATGTTAATACTATACTACATTAGTAAATCATTGTATCGGTCATGGTCTGGTTGTAAAAATAATCTGGAATATTTAAAATGCATAGACTTTAATTAAGGAACTACTTACACAGATGAGATGAAATCAGGATTAAATGGATAGAAAATGAAAACTGTAATACCCAGTGATTTGTACAGCTGGAAGCCCATCCTACTCCTAGGGCTGAAGAAACAAGGGAAGGAAATAGTGATGATAAGTAGTCCTATGAGAGCTGGGAGGTTTGAAGAATGGGCTGCACTATAGGAGCTGCAGTGGAGAGTACATATGGGCACATCTTAATTTCTCCATGCCCCCAAACTTACAAAATGAACTTCTAGGATCTCTGCTTCCTGTTAGTGTACAATAACATCAAAGATTGAGATCTGGACACTAGAACTATTAGGTTGGTGCAAAAGTAATTGCAGTTTGGGACCATGAATTTCAAATCATTATAACTGGGCTCAAACACATCTTTATTAAACAAGAGAGGAACCATTACAATCAACATATTTTTGCCAATGAGAAATAAGTTTGTTTATTCCTATAGCATAAAAATCCATGCTTCAGGATTCGACAAACTCTTAGAAAGCATTTTCTACATCCTGATGTTTGTGGAAGCATTTTACCTGCAAAAAGTCGTAGAGATGCATGAAGAGTGGGAGTCGGTTGGTGAGAGGTCACATGAATATAGTGGATGAGGCAAAACTTCACAGCCCAATGCCTTCAACTTTTGAAGCGTGGATTGTGTAAGGTGCCCACAGGCATTGTGGTGGACAAGAATTGGGCCCTTTCTGTTGACCAATGCCAGCTACAGGCATTGTAGTTTTCGTTGCATGTCATCGATTTCCTAAGGATACTTCTCAGATGTAATGGTTTTACTGGGCTTCAGAAAGCTGTGGTAGTTCAGACCACCAAACAATGACCATGGCCTTTTTTTGGTGCAAGTTTGGCTTTGAGAAATGCTTTGGAGCTTCTTCACGATCCAACCACTGAGGTGATCTTCACTGGTTGTTGCATGTCATAATCTGATTGGGAAATGGTTCATTGTTGTTGTGTACAAGAAGAGAAGACAACACTTCAAAACAATGATGTTTCTGATTTTCAGTCAGCTCATGAGGCACCCACTTATTGAACTTTTCCACCTTTCCAATTTACTTCAAATGCCAAAGACTGTAGATGGTCCTCCTTGAGTTCTTTGACAACTTTTCATGTAGTTATAAGAGGATCAGCTTCAATGATTGCTCTCAGTTAATTGGTCATTGTCAACCTCCAATGGCCAGCCACTGCACTCCTCATCTTCAAGGCTCTCATCTCCTTTGCAAAACTTCTTGAAGCACCATTGCTCTGTACATTTGTTGGAAGTTCATGGGTCAATGCATTGTGATGTTGATAGTTGTCTTCCCTGCTTTATGAACTCCAATGAGAAAATCGCTCAAGTTTGCTTTTTGTCTAACATAAATTCCATAGTCTAAAATAAATATAAAATAAACAGCAAGTAATAAGTCGTTAGCAAAAAAAGTAAAGTGAGAAATGCACATTAAAGTGATTATAAAATAACCACATTTATTTAAGAATGCATTCCAATATCAAATGGCAAATTCAACAATGCTAAAACCGCAATTACTTTTTTACCAACCTAAATATATATTACATTGATCTTCATGGCTACTGGTATATACGGAGGAAAACACTTCTAGACTCGTTTAGTGAGATGGTTGGAAATATACTTTTAATACATCAAGTGCTTTCATTAACATGTGGCCTTCATTCTGGAGACAGAGAGAGAGAGAGAGAGAGAAATGTGTGTGTATGTGTGTACATATATATATATTTGCATATATATGCAAAACATAAGTTTATATCATAATATTATTTCAACTTCTAAAATCTTAAATTTGAAATATAATTGGATAAGTACATGTTTAAATTTAAATCCTCTAACTGAGGCTTCAATTATGCCTCCTAGTTTTTTATAACCTGTAGGTTGTATTAATCATCATTCTTTTTTCATTCTCAGAGGGCACATTACTGTCTTGGGTTTCCTGGCTTCATTGAAAACTCACCATGGAATCTGAAGTCTCCCATATTTTGTTTATAAATTTTCATAGTTTTGCTGTCAGTATTTAAGGAAATAAATTTTGGGATTAAGTGTTGGCCTCTGACCTCCTGACTTTGAACTCAAATCAGTATTAGCAATTCTTTAGCTGAGATTCTTTTGCTTTTTTAGGAGCAAATGGATCTGATTGTGAAACCATTCATCACTCTCCACTGGGTTGAATGGTACTTCCCTCCAAAGATATGCCCACCTACTCAGTGCAGAACCTGTGGATCTGACCTCACTTGGAAACATTTTGCAGATGTAATTAAGTTAAGAAACTCTAGATGAGATCATCCTGTATTATCAGGGTGATCTCTAAATCCAAAGACAAGGGTACTTATAAGAAACAAAAATAATTCCATTGTACTGCAATTTGAGACTACTACTCAGCCCCTTTGGGCTCCTCATGCCTTGAATCAATAGACAGAAAAGATGACACAGAGGAGAAGCACATATGAAGATGGAGGAAAAGATTAATGTAATGCAGCCACAAGGAATAATGACAGCCATCAAAAGCTGAAAGATGCAAGAAAGGATTCCACGAGAGTGACCATGCATATACCGTAATTTCAGACTTCTGGGTGCCAAAATTGTGAGAGAATAATTTATTTTATATTAATTTACCCAGTTATGGTCATTTGCTGTGGCAGCCTTAGGAAACCGGTACACATCCTCTTTAAATTCTGTATTTAGAAACAAATCCTAACTTTCTAAATTATGGTCATCATTAAACTCAGCAAGCTCAAGTCTTTTAGATTCAATTTCACCTACCAAATTAAGAACAAATTCTTCATCTAGCTGTTAAGAGCATCCTTAATAAATCCAAATATTCTCTCTGATTCAACACACAGAAATTTCAGTTTCTTGAAAATGCTCCATGCTTTCCTGAGTATACGGTGTTCTTTTGATGCAAAATGCTTATTCTTTTAATTCTATCTCAGAATACTGATAGCCTACCCTTTCACTGTATCCTAAGAGCCATCTTTTTTGGCTTGAGTCAGAAGCAGACTCTGAAATGAATATACATTATGTTCATGTGATTTATTAAGAGAGTGCTCCATAGAAAAACCACTGAAGAAATGGAAGAAGCAAGTCTGCAAAGAGAAGAAGACTTGAAGGACTTTATTTTCCTTCCAAAGTTCTACAAAGGAAAGGCTTCAGGCTAGGAAAATACTTGGTGTAAGTTACTCTCAGCATTGTCCTGTGAGATCAAGGGATCTGGACTCATGTATTCCCATAAGTGTCAATTACTTCTGGCTTTCTATAGCAGTTTGTGAAGAGGGGTCACTAGCCCTTCTGAAGGCTGAGAGAGTCCTGTGAAGAAGAGTTGCAGGAATAGACCGATGGAAAGAACTACACATCAAAGCAGAATGACCATGTCATCCACTGGCTTTTCTGATCTCATCTCTTCCAGCTCTTGCTGTGAACTTCACCCTACCAAACGAGAACAGTCACAAAAGTTTATATATGAGTCTGAGGACTATAAAAAGTTTCCAGACTCAGTGAGGAGGAAATCTGGGCTCTCATAAGATGTAAAATTTCTAAGTTCACTCATAAAAGATAAAAGATTTCCTTTTCTCTTAGTTATGTTTCATATATATGTTTCCAATTGCATATCATTTCCTCTATTGGAAGATATTTATCATATATGTGCCTTACCTGCTTCATGGTCATGCTAGATTAAGACTATTGTATGAAGGAGGACTTTTCCCCCAATTTATCTTTACATACTTTCAAGGAATTAGTAGTGCTTGTAGAATCTGAAACATGTTAATGACTTTTATTTAATTAAATCAAAATATTGTGCTTTCTCCCACAGAGCCTCATATAATCTCCAAATTTGCCACTAAAAAATGTTGATTTTAGCCATAAAAAATAGTTCTTTGGCTTGGCAAATATACCAATTTCATTCACTTGCTATAAGATAATTAATAAAATACTTGATAGCCACTATTTGTCATATGCTTTTGGATTCAAAGTAGAAGAGATTATACTATAAAACATTTTTAGTAGGAATTATAGTATTCAGTAATGATTGACTCATGAAAAGTGATATTGTAGGGCAAAAAATCAGACTCAGCATAGCACATTTTCCTGGAATTGTTTTAAGCTCACATTCTTAGACATACTTAATAAATTTTAAATGGCCTTTGTTCTGTTGCTGCTTTTTCAAATGATAATCACTATGATTGACTTATCATCCATTATTGATACCATATATAATATCTATTAACAGCTCTACATTATGGGAGAAAATTTAGTAAAGTAGATTTATGTGCACACATATCCCTGACTTATTAGCTATATATCCTTGAACAAGTTCCTTACATCTCTGCACTTTAGTTTCCTGCCTTGTAAAATGGAAAGTGTCAATCAAATATCTGCCCCATCAGATTGTGCTATCCCCATAACATTGTGCTATAATTATTTATTTATTGTTGAGAGAGGAACATTGATGTGTCCAAGTCAGTTGTAGATTTGTCTATTTCTCCTTTCAGAATTGCAAGTTTTTACCTCACATATCTACAGTTCTGCTGTTTGATGCAATGCTTCTTGGAAGATTCACTCTTTTATCATTATATAATCTCCCTCTCTTTGATAATATTCTTTGCTCTAAAGTTTACTTCACCTGATATTTATTAATATACTGTACCTGCTTTCTTTGTTTGCATAGTGTAGTTTTACTATATTTTTACCTTCTACTTGCCTATCTTGTTACCTTTAAATTTCTGACTTTCTTTTAGAGGGCATATAGTTGGGTCATATTTCTAGTCCATTCTCCCAATCTCTGTCTTTTAATTGGTAGATTCAGACCATTTATATTTAACTTTATCATTATGTTGTGGGTAAGTCTGCCATTTTTATCTTCTGTTTTTTTTCCTTTGTTTTTCATTTCTTCATTTTTTCCTGCCTTTCTGTGGGATAGTGAACATCTTTTAGATTTGCTTTTTGATTAATCTGTAGTGTTTTTTTAATTTATCTTTTTTTATTTTTTTAGTCGTGCTATAGGTATTACATTATACATACATTAATTGTAACAGTCTACTATTGTCATTATTTTCCCTCTTTGGGTGAAATACAGGAACTTTACCTCCCTTTATGTACCTTTTTGCTATTCCATTTCTATTATAATTATATTAAGTATTTCCTCTACATATATTAAGAACTACCATGTTCAGACATTGTTATATTGTCTAATTTGGGAAGTTTAAAGCTATTATGGCTTTGAGTACTTTTTCAGGCTTGCCTACTTTTCCCTTTCCTTCCACAACTACAGTGTCATAAATATTAGAATTTTTAAATAGTCCCACAGGCCCAAGTCTTTGTTTATTTTTTTCATCCTGTTTTCTCTCTGTTGTTTAAATTGAGTAATTTCTCTTGTCTGTCTTCCAACTTACTGATTCTTCTTTCTGTTTCCTCCATCCTGCTATTGAGCCTATGCATTGAATTGGAGATTTTTCTAGCTATTTTATTTTTCGGTTCTAAAATTTTTAGATGTTTCTTCTTTATATCTTCTTTACTTCTTCAGTGCAATGTTCTACTCTTTTTTTTCAAGTATTTCTGTAATTGCTAATTGAAAATTTTCTATAATGGGTACTTTCAAATCCTTACCAGATAATTTTAATATCTTTCATCTCAGTGTGAGTGTCTGTTGATTGTTTTTTTCACTCAGTCTAAAAGCTTTCTGGCTTTTGGTATGGTAAGTAACTTGATTGAAACCTGAGTATTTGAGTATTACGGTATGAGATTCTGGATTTTATTTAAATCTCCTGTTTTTGCTGGCTTTCTCTAGCATGGCCGCAGGAGGGGAAGTGAGGGCATCCTCTTCTTACTGTCACGTGGAAATAAAAATTAAGATTTCCTATGTGGCCTTTGTTGATACCCAAGGTTGGGGGGGAGGCTTTTTATTACTGCTTTTTGGGGATGAGAGGCTGAGAGCTTGAGCTCCACAATAGGCTCCCAGTGATAACTCTTTGGTTGTGACAGGCATGAATGACTCATTACTGCTCCCCACATCATTTCCAATCACACCACCCAGAGGAAAGTGGCCTCATTACCCCTAAAGGGTGGTGAATGTCACGAATGTCACAAATGTCCTGGCAAAAGCCTATTCTCTGCAGCCAAAAGACTGGAAAAGAAAAGGGCTAGTCTAGGAAGGCAGAAAGATTGTAGACTACTGTTCTACTCCAGAAAGATACCACATATAAAAAAATAATAGTCTCAACCACTCCCATGCCAGTAAATGCTGATAGAGTAGCCTAGACTTCCACCCTCAGAAGTTGTAAGGAAGATGTCTCAATCCCATTCTAACCTCCATCTCCCAAATCCTCAATCTCAGCCCCTTTCATGGTGTCAGTGAAGACCACCTGCACCCAGTAGTAAGGAGATACCCCTCCCCTTCCATATTGGGAAATAATCTTTTTTTATGTTTTAAAATTATATAAAGCATCTTAATTGAAAACACATATACTTAGGAAATTCAAATCATAAATTGAATACCCAATTTCTTGAGAAATAAATTATAAAGGAAAAATGGTGGATGGTTATCTCAGAAAAGAAAGAAAAAGGCAATTTCTGTTGCTCTAAATAAGAGACTTTTTCATTAAGTGTGTTGTTAAATATTATTCTAATTGTACCATCATTTTTCAAAATAAAAATGAATGTGCATTATTCAAATAAATATAAGAGAATCAAATACATTTAGGAAAGGTAATATCTTGATCAGGCCTTTCCCAGTTTTTTTTCTGACTTACTTTCTTTTTAAGATTCAAGAGAAAATGGTTGGAAAAGCCAGATTTTTGGGATGGTTTACATATTTCTCTATGATCTTATATTCATCAGATGCAGATGTGTTAGCTATCAATAATTCTCCAAAGATCTGCACACATTTAATTCATGGTAGCTTAAATTTTACAACTATGAATTCAAAAATATACTTTTGAATGCTACTCATGTCTGTAAGAAACATTCTTAGCAACAAAAG